TTGAAATTTGTAGTAATGGGAAATGAATGATGTAGAATTTTCCGATTGTTTTAAAGCCCATAATTTGAAAAGTACTCGACTTAGATTTTTTATATTTTTCTGATAATTTTCACGACTTGGCCTATCCCCGTTTCCGGGTTAACGTCGACTTCTGTGACCAATTAAATTATCTACTCGTTCACTTTCGAATAGAGTGAATGTGCCAAGTTAGTTGATGATCGTTAGTCAAATTAAAAGTTTCATGCGCTTCTAGCAACCGAAAATGAAAATGAAAATAATCACACCTAATAGTTCTCGCCGTGTCCTATTACCGAAGTGTTTCGTTTCTCGGAACTATTAGATTGATTACTTCGAATTTTATACGCGATCATGGCATGTCAGGAGCTCGTAAAATGCTACACTGTTACATGATCTAGCTTCACGCAAACTTATTTCATTCCAGCCCATCATAATTTATATTTATATTAATTTTTTGATTCGATTTCGTGTTAATTTCGTATAAAAATCGAAAAATTAAAATTAAACAATCGCGTTATTGCTGTAGATGATGGTGTCTCTGAGAGAACATCGTCGCTACTATAAACTGTAAGAGTAAGAAGACGACAAAGTGGTTGGTCTTCTGCAATCTGTGATTCAACAGACAATATAACAATAACGCTTGACAACCAAAAAGCAGTAGCTCTCATACTGCTTGACTTTACTAAAGCATTTGGCACAATTAATCATTCACTTTTTATGTCGATATGCAGTTACTATGGATTTTCTGATAAACCTCTTTCATATATTCAAACCTAACTTGAAAATCGGTTTTAAAAAAGTTCGTCCAAATCAACCTCACTCTACCGCGCAAAACATTTGTTGTGGTGTACCGCAGGGATCTGTCTTGGGAGCCCTAACATTTTCATTATACTTCGAAGTTGAGTCATTTATTTTAACAGTGAGTAGATCTGATCAAAAGAAATGTTTTTTTCCTTTACCATTTTTCTGGTAAAATTAAAGTAACAAAGTTATAGCCCTTTGGAAGTTTGAGTACCGCCCTGTCTCAATAATAATATTATGTGCTCGTGTTTGGCGACAACGGATATAATCCGCCTTATCGGTTCATCGCATCGGAAACAAAAAAGCGAAAGAATTTGGAACGATGTTTTTACAGTTATTTTATTCATTTGTATACAGTCAGTGTCAGTCGGTAACGCGTAATGAATAGTGGTGTCTGTTGCGTGGCTCAAACGAAATAAAAAATGGCACATGTTTATGCGGATCGGTTTCCCAATCGAGTGCAACCAACCCCTCGTGCCTTTGTTAATGTAGTACAACGGGCTCGTGAATCAGGTGACGGCATGCCGGTGCTCCAAGACCTCACGATCAAATACACGTCCGCACTGAAATACTTGTCGGGAGGATACTTTATAAAACAAGGTAAAATTTTTTTTAATTTTTTTTTTATTTTTACACACATATTTTGGTTTATCTTCCTTCTACAATCATTATCTGAAAATTAATGACTCAACTTCAAAGTCACCCTAGGTATATCTCAGATTTACAAACAGAGGTAAATCATGCAGCATATAATGATTCGCCGACAAAACTCAGATTTTCTTTTCATTTAGGGCCGTTTTGTCAGTCATTCGTACAATTGTACGATTCCTTTATGGCCTCCTTGATTATCATAGTCTTTTCTCACCTTCAGAAAGGCTGGGGTATCTCTAGATTTCTACTATTCCGTATCAGCTTCATCGTTCCCCTATTATGAGGCTATGTTTTCTTTTAGAAATGTAGAAAATTTCAGGCTGACATAACAGATGATAAATCAAAAGCATGAACAATTTGATGGAAATGGATATTTGTGACATAACCTCAAAATAGAGCGAGGGAACAGTAGAAAACTGAAAACCAAGAAGACCATAAAGGTATCCCACAATAATTGTAGGATCGACTGACGATATGGCCCTTAAACAGCGGACAATAACAGTAATCAAGATCTTGTCCAAATTGAATGTCATAATCTCCGTTTGAACCCTTTAAAGACAAATATGTTAGTATACGCAAATAAAACAAAAATGAATGCTTTAGAAAATGACATAGACATAAGTTTAAAAGGTATTAAAATAGTTCCTGCGGAGAACCTAGGTATTATAATGACTGGTGACTTAAAATTTGTTGAACACGTAAACCATCTAATTTCGCAGTGCTACGGAATTCTCAGAGCTTTATTGGCAAATAAGGCTATATTATAAAAAACAGCGAGAGAGCAATAGTGTGAATCTTTCTTGTTTTCAAAAATATCGTATTGCTTAGTAGTTTACTAACCGTATTTAGATATTGAAACAAAAAATCGTATTCAAAGTATCATGAATACACGTTGCAGACTTGTAAATGATCTCAGGAAATATGATCACATATTTATGAATACCAGCTCCTAATTCTGACTCAAAAACACATATGCATGGCATTAATATCAGATATAAAGTGATTTTTTTTATCGATCAGTACATATACTTACAATGCGCTCAAATTATACAATTCCTTAAACCGCAGTCTCAAAGAAACTAAATCATTACCCAAACTCAAGAAAAAAAATTAATCTTCTTAATCAGCAGCGAAATATGTTATAGCCAATACGTGTTGACTGACCTTATGCTTTCTTTATGATTTATTATTGTCTTCAGTTTTTATACATCCTGTAAAGTTGAGGGGGTTAGGTGGTAGTGTAGATATAGTATACAGGGTGTTTCACAACGTATCCGACACATGTGCACTGTTGATGAAAGAAGTTGATTTCTCAGAAAAAATGTAATGAAAGTCCTACATAAATCGAGATAATAAAATAATACAGTTTAACAGTTCATTTACTTATAAAAGCTGTTCCAAATTATTACCATTGACTGCAATGCAAGCTTGGGCGCGTCTAATCCAATTTCGACGCGCTAATTCAAATACACCTCCATCCTGCTGTACCTGAAGCCTGAAGGCTCAAATTATCGGCAGCCACTGTGATTCGGTCACGAAATTCTTCAATACTCTGAACTGGAGTACGATATGCCTCGTTTTCCAAGAATTCCCATAAAAAGAAGTCCAGAGGATTTAAATCGGGAGACCGTGGAGGCCATGCAATTGGCCCACCCCTTCCAATCCAGCGTATCTGGTATACCTGATTCAAAAAATCACGAACTTCTAAACAAAAATGCGGAGCTTCCCCATCGTGCAGAAATCACATCCGTGCTCGGACCGCCTATAGCACATCTTCAAGAAGGACCGGCAAATCATTGCGAAGAAATTTCAAATACATTCATCCGATCTGGCAATATGAACGATCCAATTAGACATTCATTGACAATACCTGCCCACACGTTTAAAGAAAAACGATGTTGGACGTGTATCTAAACCACTGCGTGAGGATTCTCAAAGGACCAAACGTGTGTATTATGAAGATTGGTTATCTCATTACGAGTAAAAATAGCTTCATCGGTGGCCAAAATATCAGCTGTAGAACGGGCATTTCGAGCATTTTCTTGCAACAAAGTCTGACTCTTAGGGGGTAGTCTGTAGGTAGCAACGCCTGGACTCTCTGGACGTGATAAGGATACAGTTGGGTCTCATGTAATATGCGCCACGCTGTCGCATATGACAGTTCTGAGACCTGCCTTGTGCTTATTCCCGGATTTTATTCCACAATATCCAAAATTTCGTGTTCGGCATTTAAAATACGTTGTGGGCGAACCCGTCTCAAATCCACTCCACGTCTGGAGCGCAAATCTTCACTAGCACGTGCAAGTAAAACAATTGAACTAAATGTTCCGTGATGAGGTATGTGCCTATTCGGAAATCGGCGACCATACCATATATAATAGTAGTCTTCATACGGTTCGGTTGTGTTTAACCTGTGTCTACATTAATCTTTCGAAATCGAGGGCACAAGATCGAACTAAATAGTAAGATCTTACACTAGCTTTTTAAGAAGCATATCTGCATGAAACCATCAAGACCTTGGGCAGTAAATGCTCCTTCTGTAATTTAATGCACTATTTTGCTTCGATACCTAGTTCGAGTGATCTTTTGTTGTGATTCTTGGAGAATATAGAAGGGTAATTCCGGTAGAGATCGACCACCGGGAGAGACCGACCACTGACGGTAACTTAACCACAAAGCAATAGATGAATCCGTGACTCACATGTATGATGCGATTAGTTGACCTTGTTACATGGAACACGTAAACACGCCCCGTAACAGTAGTATAAATGTACAAATTAAATTTAAAAATTTGTGCAAACTTGACAATTTTTTGACTGATTTACTGTGTTCGTGATATTTTAAAGACGGGTAAGTTTAATTGAACTGTTTCAATACTGGATGATAAAATATGCATCAAACTATAACATAACACCAAAAATGTAGGCATTTATCATTTTTCCTTCGGTTAACAAGGTGGTCGATCTCTCCCGTAACTTTGGTAGAGTACGACCACATCAATCCGGGAGAGACCGACCATGGAAATAATAATAGTAATAATGAAATATTCGGCGGTCTGAAGGAAATTAGTGATACAATAAAGCTCAATTTGAAAAAATAAATTTATTGTAAAGTAATATTGTTAATATTAACAAAAATGCCCACGACTTACAAAAGGAAAAATGAAGAGAGAGCTAAATGGAGTGCCGGTTCTTTAAGAAATGCAATTGAATGTGTACAAAATCGTACATTGGGTGTAAATGAAGCCGCCAGACAATTTGGAATACCTAAAACAACGCTAAAAGATAGGATTAAGAAGGGGGACGCAATAAAACAACACAGATTAGGTCCGTCATCAGCGTTGGAAGAAGATGCAGAACCAAAATTTCATACGACACATAAAAAAATTGCAAACATTTGGATTTGCACCAGATCGGGAGTCCGTCAGAATATGGGCTTTTCAACTTGCAGAAAAATTAAAACTGAAGCACACGTTTAATAAAGAAAGAGGCAAGGCCGGTTATGATTGGCTTAACTCGTTTTTACGTCGACATCCTGATATATCGATTAGAAAAGCCGAAGGAATTTCTATTAACCGAGCGACTGGAATGAACTGTCTGTCTGTGAAACACTATTTTACCCTTTTAGAAAATGTTCTCACTGTTCCCACTTGTTCCCAAAACTAACGCAAAAGCAGTAGTTAAAACACGAGGTAGGCAGCTTGCAACTATTTTAAACAGTTCACAACGAATTGAGATTCTGAAGGATAAAAAGAAAACAAAGAAGAAAAACAAATGTCCAATTCAGAAAAAAACTGTGGTTAAACAGAAAAGAACATTAGAAGATTCAGATTCGGAGAGCGAAAGTCCAGTATTGCAGGAGAGTGATACATCAGCAGATGAATGCGACGAAAGCGAATGCGTAGGATGTGGGGAAAATTATTTTAAAACCACTAAGAATGACGGATGGCTCAAATGTGTGAACTGTAGTCGTTGGTTTCATAATGGATGCTCAAAATTCGAGAATATTTGCGATATATGCGGAAAATTTAACAAGAGAAGTCGAAAAAATTAAATGTATTTATCCGATTTAATTCTACCCTTATTATTATACTGTTCAAACATGTTTTATTATTTTATGTTTTCTTATTTTTCGAAGTCGATCTCACCCGTAGTTGGTGGTCGGTCTAACCCGGACATCCGGGTGAGATCGACCAGTTACAATGTTTAAACTTTTAGTTCAAAATAAACATTTATGTTTGTATTATATCTTAAATTGTGATTTATTTACTATCCTAACCCTTTAGGTAATGCTTCAACAGTTAAAAAAACGTGTACCTCAGAAACCAAAATATTTACAATATGTTTTCCAAAATGTGGTCGATCTCTCCCGGACTTACCCTATGGAAGATCAGGGTGAAATTACTAACCAGATCCTTAACATCCTACAAGAAATAAGAAGTGATCTTAAAGAGGTGAAGGAATCTCTAGCCACACAGAGGAATAGGATAGACGACATAGACTCTAGAATAAAGGACCTGGAAACAGAAAACGCTGATTTGAAGCAACAGGTTGTTGTTCTTCGAAGAAAGGAACTGAATAATAACATAATATTATTCGGACTTGAGGAAACACAGAACGAAGATTTGCTAAAGGACATAATAGCATTCTTGCATTCAAATCTTGCAGCTACGATCACTGAGTCAGACATTAATAACATCTATCGAATTGGAATAGCAAACAGTAACACACCTCGGCCAGTCAAGTTAGAATTAGTTAGGAACATCGTCAAACAAAAAATAATAAAGAGCGCATATGGTGTCTCTGAGAGAACATCGTCGCTACTATAAACTGTAAGAGTAAGAAGACGACAAAGTGGTTGGTCTTCTGCAATCTGTGATTCAACAGACAATATAACAATAACGCTTGACAACCAAAAAGCAGTAGCTCTCATACTGCTTGACTTTACTAAAGCATTTGGCACAATTAATCATTCACTTTTTATGTCGATATGCAGTTACTATGGATTTTCTGATAAACCTCTTTCATATATTCAAACCTAACTTGAAAATCGGTTTTAAAAAAGTTCGTCCAAATCAACCTCACTCTACCGCGCAAAACATTTGTTGTGGTGTACCGCAGGGATCTGTCTTGGGAGCCCTAACATTTTCATTATACTTCGAAGTTGAGTCATTTATTTTAACAGTGAGTAGATCTGATCAAAAGAAATGTTTTTTTCCTTTACCATTTTTCTGGTAAAATTAAAGTAACAAAGTTATAGCCCTTTGGAAGTTTGAGTACCGCCCTGTCTCAATAATAATATTATGTGCTCGTGTTTGGCGACAACGGATATAATCCGCCTTATCGGTTCATCGCATCGGAAACAAAAAAGCGAAAGAATTTGGAACGATGTTTTTACAGTTATTTTATTCATTTGTATACAGTCAGTGTCAGTCGGTAACGCGTAATGAATAGTGGTGTCTGTTGCGTGGCTCAAACGAAATAAAAAATGGCACATGTTTATGCGGATCGGTTTCCCAATCGAGTGCAACCAACCCCTCGTGCCTTTGTTAATGTAGTACAACGGGCTCGTGAATCAGGTGACGGCATGCCGGTGCTCCAAGACCTCACGATCAAATACACGTCCGCACTGAAATACTTGTCGGGAGGATACTTTATAAAACAAGGTAAAATTTTTTTTAATTTTTTTTTTATTTTTACACACATATTTTGGTTTATCTTCCTTCTACAATCATTATCTGAAAATTAATGACTCAACTTCAAAGTCACCCTAGGTATATCTCAGATTTACAAACAGAGGTAAATCATGCAGCATATAATGATTCGCCGACAAAACTCAGATTTTCTTTTCATTTAGGGCCGTTTTGTCAGTCATTCGTACAATTGTACGATTCCTTTATGGCCTCCTTGATTATCATAGTCTTTTCTCACCTTCAGAAAGGCTGGGGTATCTCTAGATTTCTACTATTCCGTATCAGCTTCATCGTTCCCCTATTATGAGGCTATGTTTTCTTTTAGAAATGTAGAAAATTTCAGGCTGACATAACAGATGATAAATCAAAAGCATGAACAATTTGATGGAAATGGATATTTGTGACATAACCTCAAAATAGAGCGAGGGAACAGTAGAAAACTGAAAACCAAGAAGACCATAAAGGTATCCCACAATAATTGTAGGATCGACTGACGATATGGCCCTTAAACAGCGGACAATAACAGTAATCAAGATCTTGTCCAAATTGAATGTCATAATCTCCGTTTGAACCCTTTAAAGACAAATATGTTAGTATACGCAAATAAAACAAAAATGAATGCTTTAGAAAATGACATAGACATAAGTTTAAAAGGTATTAAAATAGTTCCTGCGGAGAACCTAGGTATTATAATGACTGGTGACTTAAAATTTGTTGAACACGTAAACCATCTAATTTCGCAGTGCTACGGAATTCTCAGAGCTTTATTGGCAAATAAGGCTATATTATAAAAAACAGCGAGAGAGCAATAGTGTGAATCTTTCTTGTTTTCAAAAATATCGTATTGCTTAGTAGTTTACTAACCGTATTTAGATATTGAAACAAAAAATCGTATTCAAAGTATCATGAATACACGTTGCAGACTTGTAAATGATCTCAGGAAATATGATCACATATTTATGAATACCAGCTCCTAATTCTGACTCAAAAACACATATGCATGGCATTAATATCAGATATAAAGTGATTTTTTTTATCGATCAGTACATATACTTACAATGCGCTCAAATTATACAATTCCTTAAACCGCAGTCTCAAAGAAACTAAATCATTACCCAAACTCAAGAAAAAAAATTAATCTTCTTAATCAGCAGCGAAATATGTTATAGCCAATACGTGTTGACTGACCTTATGCTTTCTTTATGATTTATTATTGTCTTCAGTTTTTATACATCCTGTAAAGTTGAGGGGGTTAGGTGGTAGTGTAGATATAGTATACAGGGTGTTTCACAACGTATCCGACACATGTGCACTGTTGATGAAAGAAGTTGATTTCTCAGAAAAAATGTAATGAAAGTCCTACATAAATCGAGATAATAAAATAATACAGTTTAACAGTTCATTTACTTATAAAAGCTGTTCCAAATTATTACCATTGACTGCAATGCAAGCTTGGGCGCGTCTAATCCAATTTCGACGCGCTAATTCAAATACACCTCCATCCTGCTGTACCTGAAGCCTGAAGGCTCAAATTATCGGCAGCCACTGTGATTCGGTCACGAAATTCTTCAATACTCTGAACTGGAGTACGATATGCCTCGTTTTCCAAGAATTCCCATAAAAAGAAGTCCAGAGGATTTAAATCGGGAGACCGTGGAGGCCATGCAATTGGCCCACCCCTTCCAATCCAGCGTATCTGGTATACCTGATTCAAAAAATCACGAACTTCTAAACAAAAATGCGGAGCTTCCCCATCGTGCAGAAATCACATCCGTGCTCGGACCGCCTATAGCACATCTTCAAGAAGGACCGGCAAATCATTGCGAAGAAATTTCAAATACATTCATCCGATCTGGCAATATGAACGATCCAATTAGACATTCATTGACAATACCTGCCCACACGTTTAAAGAAAAACGATGTTGGACGTGTATCTAAACCACTGCGTGAGGATTCTCAAAGGACCAAACGTGTGTATTATGAAGATTGGTTATCTCATTACGAGTAAAAATAGCTTCATCGGTGGCCAAAATATCAGCTGTAGAACGGGCATTTCGAGCATTTTCTTGCAACAAAGTCTGACTCTTAGGGGGTAGTCTGTAGGTAGCAACGCCTGGACTCTCTGGACGTGATAAGGATACAGTTGGGTCTCATGTAATATGCGCCACGCTGTCGCATATGACAGTTCTGAGACCTGCCTTGTGCTTATTCCCGGATTTTATTCCACAATATCCAAAATTTCGTGTTCGGCATTTAAAATACGTTGTGGGCGAACCCGTCTCAAATCCACTCCACGTCTGGAGCGCAAATCTTCACTAGCACGTGCAAGTAAAACAATTGAACTAAATGTTCCGTGATGAGGTATGTGCCTATTCGGAAATCGGCGACCATACCATATATAATAGTAGTCTTCATACGGTTCGGTTGTGTTTAACCTGTGTCTACATTAATCTTTCGAAATCGAGGGCACAAGATCGAACTAAATAGTAAGATCTTACACTAGCTTTTTAAGAAGCATATCTGCATGAAACCATCAAGACCTTGGGCAGTAAATGCTCCTTCTGTAATTTAATGCACTATTTTGCTTCGATACCTAGTTCGAGTGATCTTTTGTTGTGATTCTTGGAGAATATAGAAGGGTAATTCCGGTAGAGATCGACCACCGGGAGAGACCGACCACTGACGGTAACTTAACCACAAAGCAATAGATGAATCCGTGACTCACATGTATGATGCGATTAGTTGACCTTGTTACATGGAACACGTAAACACGCCCCGTAACAGTAGTATAAATGTACAAATTAAATTTAAAAATTTGTGCAAACTTGACAATTTTTTGACTGATTTACTGTGTTCGTGATATTTTAAAGACGGGTAAGTTTAATTGAACTGTTTCAATACTGGATGATAAAATATGCATCAAACTATAACATAACACCAAAAATGTAGGCATTTATCATTTTTCCTTCGGTTAACAAGGTGGTCGATCTCTCCCGTAACTTTGGTAGAGTACGACCACATCAATCCGGGAGAGACCGACCATGGAAATAATAATAGTAATAATGAAATATTCGGCGGTCTGAAGGAAATTAGTGATACAATAAAGCTCAATTTGAAAAAATAAATTTATTGTAAAGTAATATTGTTAATATTAACAAAAATGCCCACGACTTACAAAAGGAAAAATGAAGAGAGAGCTAAATGGAGTGCCGGTTCTTTAAGAAATGCAATTGAATGTGTACAAAATCGTACATTGGGTGTAAATGAAGCCGCCAGACAATTTGGAATACCTAAAACAACGCTAAAAGATAGGATTAAGAAGGGGGACGCAATAAAACAACACAGATTAGGTCCGTCATCAGCGTTGGAAGAAGATGCAGAACCAAAATTTCATACGACACATAAAAAAATTGCAAACATTTGGATTTGCACCAGATCGGGAGTCCGTCAGAATATGGGCTTTTCAACTTGCAGAAAAATTAAAACTGAAGCACACGTTTAATAAAGAAAGAGGCAAGGCCGGTTATGATTGGCTTAACTCGTTTTTACGTCGACATCCTGATATATCGATTAGAAAAGCCGAAGGAATTTCTATTAACCGAGCGACTGGAATGAACTGTCTGTCTGTGAAACACTATTTTACCCTTTTAGAAAATGTTCTCACTGTTCCCACTTGTTCCCAAAACTAACGCAAAAGCAGTAGTTAAAACACGAGGTAGGCAGCTTGCAACTATTTTAAACAGTTCACAACGAATTGAGATTCTGAAGGATAAAAAGAAAACAAAGAAGAAAAACAAATGTCCAATTCAGAAAAAAACTGTGGTTAAACAGAAAAGAACATTAGAAGATTCAGATTCGGAGAGCGAAAGTCCAGTATTGCAGGAGAGTGATACATCAGCAGATGAATGCGACGAAAGCGAATGCGTAGGATGTGGGGAAAATTATTTTAAAACCACTAAGAATGACGGATGGCTCAAATGTGTGAACTGTAGTCGTTGGTTTCATAATGGATGCTCAAAATTCGAGAATATTTGCGATATATGCGGAAAATTTAACAAGAGAAGTCGAAAAAATTAAATGTATTTATCCGATTTAATTCTACCCTTATTATTATACTGTTCAAACATGTTTTATTATTTTATGTTTTCTTATTTTTCGAAGTCGATCTCACCCGTAGTTGGTGGTCGGTCTAACCCGGACATCCGGGTGAGATCGACCAGTTACAATGTTTAAACTTTTAGTTCAAAATAAACATTTATGTTTGTATTATATCTTAAATTGTGATTTATTTACTATCCTAACCCTTTAGGTAATGCTTCAACAGTTAAAAAAACGTGTACCTCAGAAACCAAAATATTTACAATATGTTTTCCAAAATGTGGTCGATCTCTCCCGGACTTACCCTATGGAAGATCAGGGTGAAATTACTAACCAGATCCTTAACATCCTACAAGAAATAAGAAGTGATCTTAAAGAGGTGAAGGAATCTCTAGCCACACAGAGGAATAGGATAGACGACATAGACTCTAGAATAAAGGACCTGGAAACAGAAAACGCTGATTTGAAGCAACAGGTTGTTGTTCTTCGAAGAAAGGAACTGAATAATAACATAATATTATTCGGACTTGAGGAAACACAGAACGAAGATTTGCTAAAGGACATAATAGCATTCTTGCATTCAAATCTTGCAGCTACGATCACTGAGTCAGACATTAATAACATCTATCGAATTGGAATAGCAAACAGTAACACACCTCGGCCAGTCAAGTTAGAATTAGTTAGGAACATCGTCAAACAAAAAATAATAAAGAGCGCATATAAACTTAAAGGCACAAATATAGCCATTGCGGCGGATTTGATACCTGAGGATAATCAGTTGCAAAAAATTCTACGTAAACACTTGAAGATATCCAGGGGGCAGAAATAGTCAGCAAAAATACATAAAAATAAGCTTCTAGTTAATGGTGTTGCTTACAGTGCCGAGGAATTAGAACTGGAAGAAGATATTTCGGAACAAGAAGAAGAGGCAAAGACCGCAGAAACGCAAGAGACACCTCCACATGACAAAAAAGCAACTCTAGAGAAATCCGTGGAACCGAAACAATCATCTACTACGGCTACTGCGATAGTCTCCACAAGGTCGAAGCGACTGGAAAATAAGGTACAAGGTGAAAAAGTATTAATCCCGCCTTCAAAAAGAGCGAGAAATCAATGAACAGTTTTTCATTAATGTCACTGCAATCAACTATTGCCAATATTTTTTTAGGTGGATGTTTTAAAGTAATTAAACCGAGGTTATTGTATTTCGTAATTGATATTCTTTTATTCTCGATTTTTCATCATAATATTTTAATGTGTTGGAATTTTATAGTTGTAGAATTTCTATTTCTTGCTTACTAGACTAAATATTTACTCTAGATTTTATTTTCCTGGTGCTGTGTATGTGTTTTCATCATAGTACATAATATACATTATTTTTTTTCTCTTATCTTTTTAGTGTATTTTTGCTTCCTGTTATTGTTTACTTATTATTTTTTGTTTGTAATTTGGAAAATGCCATCGTTGTTGAATGTGGTTCACCTCAATATTAGATCTCTGGTTGTAAATATAGGTATGCTGCGTAGCTATGTTGATGATAATGACATCGATTTCATAGCTTTGAGTGAGACTTGGTTACATGATCAAATTGACCCTAAATTGATTGACATTGATGGTTACACCCTTTTTCGTGCAGATCGAATTGGTAGAGGTGGGGGCGTTACAGTATATACAAAATAATGTTTCCAGAGTAAAATTATCCATATTAATATAATTCCTGTCTTGGAACAGATCTGGATCTCACTAAAACTTAATCGGAAAACATTCATATTTAGTGTTGTCTATAGCCCCCCTCTGCTAATGTTGTGGACATGCTTCGCGAATTGGAGTCAGCTGTAGATCTTTTTCCACCAGATAGTGATTTGTTCGCTATAACTGGTGATCTAAATATAAATATTTTAAATCTAGATCATAAAACCAAGCTGTTGTATGATTTCCTTGAGGCATATAATTTGACACAGCTTATTGAATCTCCTACTAGAATAACCAAATCTACGAGTACATTGATAGATTTGCTCATAGTAGGTGATCCGGATGACTTCACTTCTGTCGATACACTTGATGTTGGTATTTCAGACCATTGTGTTTTGACTTTTAAAATTAATTTGCCTAAGGCGAGTAGATATGAGAAGTTTTTAAGATACCGCGATTATTCAAAGTTTGACGCAGATTTATTTTATAACGATCTACATTCTGTTAATTGGAGCTTCATCTACACACTACCAGATGTAGACTCTATGGTGGATCATCTTGAAGTAAATCTTAAAACTCTCTTTAATCGCCACGCACCTTATCGTCAAGTGAGGGTTAGTAAGCTGCCTGCTCCTTGGCGTACATATAACTTAAAAATAATGATGTCACTTAGAGATAAAGCTTTTAAAAAATATAAAAGTATTAAAAGTACAGCGGCTTACAACTACTATAAGGAGTTAAGGAATTATGTTACTGGTGCGATCAGAAGAGAGAAAGCTGCGTATTTGAGTTATACCCTCACCAAAAGAAATCAAAAATCAACATGGAACTCACTTAGATCTTTGGAGATTCTGCTCGAAAAAAAGTTAACTGAACTACCATCCAAGTTAAAGAATAGCAACACTATGAACGCATATTTTAATAGCGCCCCAAATCTGGCTAAAAGTCAACTTCAAATTGATATGCTTAGAAAATACGATACCCACGTAATGCAAGCTCATGAAGATTCTTTTAGATTCACAACAGTTAGTTCCCACGCTGTGTTCAAATTTCTTAATAAAATTAAAAGCAATGCTGTAGGCTCGGATAATATTTCGTTACGTATGTTACTGTTAGTTTCCTCTGATTTGATAGAGTATATCACGTTTATTTTAAATTTCTCAATCACATCTGGAACATTTCCTCTTGCTTGGAAGCATGCTTTGGTGAGGCCAATACCTAAATGTAACTCACCTGATGAGCTCTCTGACCTAAGACCGATTAGTATTCTCCCTACCCTATCAAAACCCCTAGAACTCATCATGAAAGACCAAATGCTTACCTATGCTATTCAAAATAATATTATTACTAGCTTCCAGTCAGGTTTTCGTCCTCATCATAGCACCTCCACGGTTTTAATGAAGATTACGGATGATCTTATTAGAGCCACTGATCAAGGTAATTGCACTTGTCTTGTGTTACTCGACTTCAGCAAAGCTTTCGACACCTTAAAGCTGCTACACACAGTGCCGGCGGCAATGCCGCCGGGTTTATGCCGAGCGGCTATGCCGCCGCAATACAAACCGCCGGCACAAGCCGCGCAAAGCCGCAAGCATCATTCCGGTTGTGACAGCCACATAGAACGCTATTGAAGTGCATATTTTATGGTTGGTTGGTTAAAATGAATAAGGAAATCATCAGCACAGCTGCCGCAGTTGTAATTTTTATTTTAATAAGATAAAAATACAAAAGAACGAGAAGGTTTTGGTTGCACCCAAGTTTACAAAATAGAAAATGGCGGAACGGTACTGTAATGATAGAAGAGTATGAAAAAGGTGATGTGGGGTGTCAGCGTTTGCGCAATAGCATGCTTTTTTGGTTTCTGTACATCGTCTATGCCTGCACCAGATTTGTGCAACTGTTCGAACTTCTTTTTTTCCCGAAAATAATGAGAGGTTAAATTTTTTAACTTTCTCTCTACTTCGCCTTTATCAATGTCAAATACACTACCAATTATGTTCAATGCGTCCATTCGTTTGTTCCTATTCTTATAGACTGCATTTCTGGGATTCCATAATATATCATTTTCATGAAATTTTTCAATTAAGAGCAGCACAGCTTCGTCGTCCCAATTAAACGACATTTTAATTTGTTTATACATACAAACCGCACAACACTACCGCTCGAATGCCAGGAACGAAGTGACGCCGGCAAGCCGCGTAACCCGCCGGCACACCACGGCGGCAGTGCCGGCGGCTTCTTTGCGCGGCAAGGCCGGCGGCTTTGTATGCCGCCGGGTGTACGGCGGCTTAGCCGGCGGCTTGCCCGGCGGCCGTGTCGCCGGCACTGTGTGTAGCAGCCTTTAGACCACGACACGCTTCTCACAAAATTGATATACTTTTCCTTATAACTCGGTTCTACTTCTTGAGAGCTACTTAAAAAATCGCACTCAGAGTACAGTTATAGATGATAATTACTCTTCCTCGTTGAATAAGGTTTTCGGTGTTCCACAAGGTTCGGTCTTGGGTCCACTCCTTTTCAGCTTATACACAGGTGATTTTCATGATTTTGTTAATTTTTCTCAGTTACATCATTATGCCGACGATACCCAGATATATATATATCGTTCTCCGCATCCAAAGCTGTTACTGCACAGATTGAACTGAATAAAGATTTAAAATCTCTATATAACATATCTATAGCACATAATTTACAGCTAAATCCGAAGAAATCACAAGTCATGACTTTTGGCAATAAAAATAAAAGACCTAATCTGCATGGCACATTTTCAGTTACTATAAATGATGTATCTTTGCCAATAATCAGTGAAAACAAAAATCTTGGCATATGGCTGGACTCTGATCTAAGATATACAAAACATGTTAGTCACTTGTGCCAAGTCTCCTATAACGTGTTAAGACAACTTTATCCCAGCAGGAGTATATTATCAAAATTCATGAAGGTCAAACTATGTGAAGCTTTGATTTTGTCTAAACTGGCTTACTGTGACTGCATATATGGACCATGCCCTTTTGCAAACAGATATTCTACGCATTCAGCGAATTCAAAATTCTTGCATCAGGTTTGCATATGGTATCCGATAGTATGACCACATCAGTGAGAGCCTTATGGATTCTGGTTGGCTTACCATGATTAACATAAGAAAACTTCATTTTCTCACATCAGTACACAAGATCGTTACTAGTGGAACACCTACTTATCTATACAATAAACTTACCAGACTGCCTGATAATAAAGTAACTCTCAATAAACATCTTTTGGTTATTCCTAAACATTCAACAGCTCTGTTTAAGCGCAGCTTTTCATACAATGCTGCGAAACTGTATAACAGCTTGGCAGTAGTTTTCAAGAATCTGAGCCTCCGCAATTTTAAAAGAAGATTGAAAGCTGATCTCCTGCACGACCAAGGGCCTAAAGTATAAGCAAACCTCGCTACGTTTTAAAGGATAATGTCCCAGTATGTTTCTTTTTAAGTCGCCTTGTTCTTTTTTGCATGAATTGTGCTCTCATAAAAACTTCATTGGCCATGCTCTCGTATGTTCTGAATTGCATATTATCTTTTTATATATATATATATATATATTTTGTATGAGTGTTATTTTTTTGTGGGTTTAGTTGAAAAGCAGCTTAGGCTGAACTACGGCTTTCATCATTTTATCTTTAATTTTTTTTTATCCGCAAATTTTCAAGTTATTTATAATGATGAATAAAGACCATTTATTATTATTATTATACGATCGAGAAGCCGCTCACAAATTTTGTACTACTTCTCCGTACGCTAAAACAATGTCCACTAACTCCTCATTAGTGTACACATGTGCAATTTTTATTAACACATAACTAAAAACATGAACACGCAAAATACTTTCTTATTTAACTTCACAAAAACCTTCACCGTTCTTCATTCAGATCACCCAGGACGCAGATTAAACCTTACACGTTCTTATTAGTATGATAAAAAAATTTCAGGTATTTTGTTTTCGACAGTTGTTTGGTACAACATTTGCTATAATAAATTATTAATGCGTGTTCTAATATCACGACGACGAAGGCAAAATACAGATATTTATTTTTCAATTTATTCTTGAAGCTCAGGTTTACAACTTAATTTCTGTAGGACTTTTGTTACATTTTTTTTTTTTTGAGGAATCAACTTCTTTCGTGACAATGCATATGTGGTTAGAATTTGTCTTCCTAGCATCCTTCACACCAACATTTTAGGCTAGCGCTGCAATGCCCTCCAGTTCTTCCTTCTTCCTTGCACACCCTCCTGCAGGTGCCATTTCGGTACCGATGGCCAAAAGCACCAACACCACCAAGATCAAGTAACCTTTCATACTGATAATGTGTATAAACTGAGCTTCGAGAAAACAATGAGAAAAAGGGATGATTGCTGTGATAATTACAGTGAGTCTGTGATATCAGAAACCTGGAAGTGGTGGTTCATATACAGATTCCTGGCAATACGAATATTTACCTTAGATCCGCAATCAAAAAAGTATTTACTTATAACACGGATGCATTACGAAACTGGAATATCTACGCAGTAAAAATTGTTTTCTGACAAAGAAATTAATATTTAACAATAGAACCAGGTACATTGTTGGCGATAATTAATTGATATATCGAAGTGAAAAGTGCTTCTAAAATTTGAAATAATATTTTGGTGTTGCCAAAGCAGCACGAAATTAGAAAGATCTTTACTATCAGACCACAATTTCATAATTATCCAGCCATACCTTTGATGATGGTCGATATACTATACTAAAAGTAGCGCCCCTCCTTCTACTTTTCAATGATTTTCCGATTTTAAAGTTACATAATTGTACCGGATGTCAATTTCATATTACTAGCTAGTCAAATATAAATGAGTCACAGACAACCGATTCAAATGAAATGTTGTTGAAATAGAGGGTGAAGACAAGTTATTCCTTCGAAACTAAGCGAAGAAGTATACTAAGTGACATATAAATCCGAACACCCAGTTTAAATGGTTTTATTTTAATAAAATTAAAGTACTTAATGAAGCATAATAAGTAAATGATAAAAATTTCAAAATGATTGCACTGCTTTAAAGCCCTTTGACCTTCAATAATGTGCGGATGCAATCTCCCATCATATCCCAATCGTGCCCAATTGGGGATAAGTCGGGAGATCTTGGTGGCCATGGTAACAATGTGAGATCATTATGTTGAAAGAAGTCTATTGTGACTCTTGCAACATGTGGTCGGGCATTATCTTGTTGGAAAGTTGGATCTGCCAGGGTGTCAAGATAGGATTAAAGATGGGGTTCTAGAACTTCGTGGATATAACGCTGCGCGTTCATGTTACCTCTGATGAAGATTAAAGGTGACCTGGAACCATAAGCTATAGCACCCCAAACCATAACTCCAACAGTGTGATGAACATGTCTTTCAACAAAAAACTGTGGATTCCTCCTTTCACCACGTCGCCTTCTAACCCTTACACCGACGTAATCGCCTTGTGTGGTGCAGACAACGGTCACTCTGGGATCAGGAATGGAACAGTATTGTCTTTAGTGACGAGTCTCGATTTTGTTTAGGCATGCACGATGGTCGTGCCAGGGTTAGAAGGCGACATGGTGAAAGGAGGAATCCACAGTTTTTTGTTGAAAGACATGTTCATCACACTGTTGGAGTTATGGTTTGGGGTGCTATAGCTTATGGTTCCAGGTCACCTTTAATCTTCATCAGAGGTAACATGAACGCGCAGCGTTATATCCACGAAGTTCTAGAACCCCATCTTTTACCCTATCTTGACACCCTGGCAGATCCAACTTTCCAACAAGATAATGCCCGACCACATGTTGCAAGAGTCACAATAGACTTCTTCCAACATAATGATATCACATTGTTACCATGGCCACCAAGATCTCCCGACTTATCCCCAATTGAGCACGTGTGGGATATGATGGGTAGGAGATTGCTCAATTTGCAACGTCCTCCTCAGACTCTAGAAGCACTTCGAGAGGAGTTGGTGGTTGCCTGGAATGGGATACCACAGGAGGACATTGACCACCTGATCAGAAGCATGCCTAGGCGCGTTGGAGAATGCGTAGCACATCAGGGTGCATCCACACATTATTAAAGGTCAAAGGGCTTTAAAGCAGTGCAATCATTTTGAAATTTTTATCATTTACTTATTATGCTACATTAAGTACTTATACAAAATTTTATTAAAATAAAACCATTTAAACTGGGTGTTCGGATTTATATGTCACTTAGTATATTATAATCGCGAAAAGTTTAGAAAATGATATATTATGGTTTTTGGATGTTTCCGTTAGTCTATCTGTCTGTCTGCTAACCTTGGACCGTCTATAACTTGGCAAGTACCGCTCTGATTTGAATGGAACTTTTCCACAAGGTTACTACTATGTCAAGGACGAAAAGGCTTTTGATTATCGCTCACACTTCGTTTTTTGTTGATTTTAGTGTATTTATAGGCTTCCAACCGTGATAATTGCATCTATTAGTCATATTTCACACCTCATTTCGTGCATTTATCTTTAAAACTTATAATGATAGACAAATGTTTTCAATCCGGGTACTCCTGCTATCTAAGCTCGCCGCCCTGCGTACCGGTCGGGCTGACTAATCTATCCGTACTGCACCGCACAAAACATATACACAAAATGAACGATAACTCGCTGTAGGTGCCACAGTTGGCACTGACGCGCAGATGTGGAAAGTGAGAACGTTGCCAGTTGGACAGTAACTACCGGTAGTTCAGAGAAAAAATGTTTATGGACTAATTATATGAGCCTGTTTGACTGACTTGATCTGTTTGAATTTGTCTGTTGTACATATGTATTCGTAACTGACTTGTTTCTCAGAGGATACAAATTGCGCTGAACTTAATCCTTTATGAACTGATGACGGCGTTGCGGAGGAAGTACAGAGTCAACCTACTTGACGCCGATTTTTTTAGAAAATGGTTTATGTGACGAAATGTTACAATAAACACTATTGCTATCAGTACTGATGTTTGAAATAATTAAAAAAGTTACATGGGTCGCAGCATCACGTCTGAATTCTGACAACCTTCATCGGATTTTCATTGCTATTCATTAAGTAAAGTATACAAAGCAGTTCAGCATTTTACTAAAAATGTTTCCAGTTAGGTTAACATAATAAAAACGTAAAGCCTACATTATAGAATCTGGGGTAAAAATATACATCAACCTTGAAAAATGCCTTTGCTAACATTAGGTATGTATTGTGAAAATTTTGCCCAATACTAGCTAACTTTTGTTTTTATTGCTACATAATGATAATGGTTAACATCTGATTCATGCTAACAGAAGTCTATGTTTTTTCTGGTCAAATTAAACCAATGATTTGTTAATCAACTTTGAAAAATGGCGTCAAATAGGTTGACTCTGTACTTCCCGTGCAACGCCGTTATCAGTGCATGAAGGAATATGTTCACGTCAACCTAGACCCCTGTGAGAAAAAATCAAGTCAAACAGGCCCATACAATTAGTCCATAGACTTGGTTTCTCTGCCCTGCCTGTAGTGCATATGGAAACGTAGGCTCTCGCCGATACTTACCTCGGGTAGAGCATAGGAAACACTATGCTGTGGCGCGGAAGAGATACGTATAATACGATACCAGAACAAAAGAACTCTCACCAAATCTATGATTTGTGAAATATGTCTAATAGGTGCGTAGAATTTCCATGTTTGAGAGCGTGTACATGTACAAAAAAATTGAGACAAGCGCCCACCCCCCTACAACCGCTACCTATATTTTTACCTCTAAACTTTTATTCAAAAATGATCAGTATTTTCTGAAACGCCAATAAACGAAATTTGAACGATTTTTATTATATTTCGTCCTTTTACTCTGCCGCCTCTGGACCGATTTTCAAATACTACAAAGCTTTTCGTCCTTCAAATACTAGTCACATTGTATAAAAAGTCCAAACAGTACTTTTCAAGGAATAGGCGTTTATAAAATTAGCGGACAGACCGACAGAAAGGAAGACGGAAACAAGCGATATCGTTTTTCGTGATGTACGTCATATAAAATATAAAAACATAATATCCCATTTCCAAACATTTTCACGATTAGAATAATTTCTCGCTAGTTGGCGTGGGAAGTCAAAAGGTCACCGTGGTAGCTGAATCGTCTGTAAAGACAGAAAAACATGGAGTTATACGTAATGATGTGCCCATGCAGTTAAGTTAAATTTTCTATATTCATATAGTGTTTCCTTTGTTATTTAAAAGAAAATAGATATACTGAATGAGTTCATTGCCAAGTATTACGTTAAATTAATTAATTTTTTATCTGATTTGCACAACTAAATACATATTGCCATATAATCTCAAGGATTACAGCAAAAATCACAAAAGCAACATTTAATCTAGTGTTTATTCGCAAATAACATAATCAATTTCCTTACGAATCTTCTTTATTTTCCTGTATAATTAACATCACGTAAAACATCAGAATTAAGATTATAAAAAGCGTCGCTGTCGCAAACCCGGCATCATTTCTAATTTGTTTTATCAGAAACAATAGAACCGTTTCCAAAATGAAAGGTTACTTGATTTTCGTGATCCTGGTACTTTTGGCCATCGGTGCCGAAGTCGCTTTCGGTGACTGCCTGTCAGGAAAATACGGAGGTCCGTGCGCAGTTTGGGACAAGGACTTGCAAGGAAGAAGGAAGAACTGGAGGGCATTGCAGCGCTAGCCTAAAATGTTGGTGTAAAGGATGCTAGGAAGATGAAAGATCGATTTTTAAGAAGGTTTAATTTTCAAAAATACAAAATTTAAAATTGGTCTTTTCCAAAATTATTAAAATCTTATAGTAATGTTTGCAGACATAGGCTTAGATCTGCTTGTAAAATGTGCTGAGAACAATAAACACTAGAAAGAACTAGGAAATTAGTTGCATGGTCAGTATTATTCCTAGCATATTTTATCAAGAATGGTAGATATAACTCATGGTAAATGTACCACTGCAGCAATCGTGTTTTTGATACACTTTTTTTTATTATCATCCTATTTTATTTGAGACTTTTTATATTGTTCTCATTTTCAAGTTTTAAGCGCCATCTGGAATTATAGATAACTTTGATAAAAAATGAGCAAATAAATAAAATAGTATCAATATATTTGTGCAAGTTAAATTCAAGGGTCATATAATATCCTGTATCTTCAATTCAACAGATTGTAATTTTCTGTGGAAATGAAATGTGAAAATTTACGATTCAGACGTTTTTCATAATTTCGTACTATATTCATTATTAATAAACCTCGATACATATTCTGGGATACGATCCTGAAAACTCGTTCAGTGAAACTTGGTGCGTAGTAGTAATTTCGATTGTCTACAGACACCGAAGGACGCGATGGGACATTTTAATATCGAGTCCCTGAAATTGTTGAAGTTATATGCAACACTCGAACAACTTCTGATAGATAGAAACGGCACTGTTTAATCACAATTCCAACAGAGTTGTCCCAAACTTGTCTTACAGGATCAAGTAGCAACGGTATCTTTTGAGGTTTCGTAACTTTTTATTCGTTTTTTCATTGACCGAATATCGAATCGAATGAATTGAAATGTGGAATTTTTATACTGCTTAAATGATCATATTGCTGTTTCCCTATTAAAGTCGATTTTTTTTCTTCCACGTCTTAGTGCAGCTATTGAACTGTACGTCCTGAGGAGGCTTTAATAATTTCAAAAATATGACTCATAATTTAAGGGGGTGCTTGAGTCGGTCATGAGTAGTACTTCTAACAGTTATGAGGCTTGTACATGTAGCGGTTGTGTAAAGGGTAAAGGGTAATTAGCAGGCAGACAGATAGACCGACGAAAATGAGTGACATGGTTTTTCGTGATGTACACGTTATACAACATCCAATATAATGTCACAAGACTATAATTTTTGCGATTACAATACAAATCAGCCAATTGGCGGGGAAAGTAAAGTTTTGTTTCTTAGTTCTCTATAGTTTCCAAGTTTCAACAAGCTTTTACAGGTGATTGTTGTAGTAGACATAAACTAAAAGAACCACAGTTATGTTATGCAAAAGAAAAAAGCAATGGTTAACAAAGTCTTATGAAGATAAAAGAATTCCATCCGGGACCCGTCGCGATAGTTCTGCATATGCAGATAAGAGTTGTTTGCATAAAGACCCTCGATGACGTCAAAACACATCTAAATGTGCTCCGTTCTCATTAAGTCGCTCCGTGGCAATGGTCCGCAACAATAATAATTAATCCCATCCCCTCAAGATTATGTCAGCGGTGTCCTTAAGGGGTGCCTCGATACATCGCCTCCGACGTATGGGAAGAGAAGGATCCATCTTCCCTTTAGAGAAAAAAAATAAATGTCGGCAAGGCAGAAATGTAGTGCAACCAACGGCGCTTACTTCACACGAAAAATATTTTTTTCTATTTGCTTGGAATTTCCAGGAATTGCAGTTGACCGCGGTGTTGCCACGTCCTGGATTCACATGTGCCATTGTCATGTATGTCATAATATCCGGTGCTACATTGCCGGATATCGTGATAAGGTTGAAATTCCGAAGATTGTTGCAATTATCATATAACAAAATAGAGGAGAATTGAACTGTAATTGTCCACAGATGCCCTCATAGGTAGCCATTTAGACCATTTAGCAACTCTATTGTTTCATTCGGCTTGCCTGCTTGACTTTGTTTTTAACGATAAATAACATCTGTTAATCTAATATTCCTTCGTTAGCGTTTTTTTTTTCATTGCATGACTGTTTATTACCTTATACTATTTAATTATTAGAGTCCTAAAATATGTGTTATTAGCAATGGATTATCCCATAAGCAACAAGCGACAACTCTGCCAAGGGTGAGAATGTCATGTATCAATGTCGAACATTTCACGACATTATGCGTATCACAGTGTAGGTATCAGCAAAAATTGATTAGGAATTAAATTGCGCCAATAATGCTAAGAATAGCCAGGTGTCATCACCAATTTGATGAGCACTGTGTGTCATTAAAGCATCTACGTGTAGCCAAGCTACCATATTTAGTCGCCTTCCAAACCAATAAATGGCCATTCCGGCAAACGCACCCATAAATAGGAATAATAATAATTTAGAAGGTGTTTTTGAAATGTTTCAATTATTCAACGAGCCCAATCAAAGATCCTTAGAGACATTACAGGCGCACTCTGGACCCTGGTATGTCTCAAATCTAACACTCCATAGAGATCTGAAAATCCCGGTCAGGGAAATCACCATGGAAAGAAGTTACAAGCACCATGCTAGACTTAGCAATTATCCAAACCCACTGCTGCCATCGTTATTAGATCCCATTGACGCCAGGAGTCTGAAAAGGACATGGGCCCTACACTTGTAAGCCTGAGGTGACATACTAGTAGCTGGATGTCTACTTCTTCCCGTCATTGAGTATACAAGTATGTAAAATATTGCACAAGCCAGCAAATTACCTTATAGAATGTATTCATATTCTGATTGCTAAACAAGTAAAGAGAAAAAAGAAGGCGATTTTATTTATTTGATGCATTACATTTATAACTTAATGAAGTCCTATAAGCTTGAGGTGTTAATATGGGCTGCCGCGGGGGGGTGTCAGGAGAGATTTTCAGGATTATGAGATTTGGATTTTTTCTATCTATTTTATGATCAAAATACGAAATACTTAAACTTTGGCACGATATAAATTGGTGTCAATTCGAATAACTCATAACTAAATAACGCAATCACATGCGCCTACTTTGAAAATTTCCATACCGATATAGATAATATAACTTACATTACAAAACTACTTGAGAATATTTTCTGAAGCTGCATCACAAAAGAAAAAGAAGAATGACTCAGTATTTCGCACGTATTCAGATACTGTGAACATACATGTTAGAACCCCCGTTTTGTAGGTATTATGCAAATACTTTGTTTTCTGATAAGAACCCTTATAGATAATACGGGTGCGTTTCCTTGATCATTCCTAGTAAACATAGAGACGTCATAATGTCGGCATTTCTAGGGCACTCTACTGACGTACGACGGCCAACAAAAATGTCGTAGAAACGGCGTCATTATGACGGGCTAATTTCACACCTAATTGACGTCATTATATGACGTCATAGTCTAACGTACAAACGATCAAATACAAAGTCGATACGACGGATGTGACGTGCACTTAATAAATCGTTCAATACAATCAGGTTGCTTTCCCGATATTCTTAAATTAGCAATAGTTGATCCTGTACTATAAAAAGGTGATCTTCACTCAGTAGACAATTACCAAGAGATATCACTCGTAAGTACGATATCTAAATTTCTCGAGAAACACATGTATAGCCAGATATGCTCATTTGCTTGTAAAAACAGTATTATAACTACATCGCAACATGGATTCCAGGCCAAAAGGTCGGTTGAGACGGCAACTTGTCATTATCTAGAGTATGTCTATAGTGAACTCATTCGACTCAGTTAGCAATAGTATACTGGTAAGCAAACTTGATTCGATAGGAGTTCGTGGTATCGCTTTGGAATGGCTGAAATCGTACCTTCAAGAACGGATAATACAGGTTAAAGTAGGAAAAGAAAAGTCTACGCCATGCAGTTTGAGCATTGGCGTGCCTCAAGGCTCAGTCCTGGGTCCAATGCTTTTCCTGCTTTATGTAAATGATTTGCCTGCTTACATATCGAAAGGAAGGGTCACTATGTTTGCGGAGGACACGTCAGTTACAGTATCGGGACAAAATATTGAAAAACTGCAGGAGAATATCAAAATAGTGTTAGATGACATCAGCGCATGGTGTCAGCGCAATAGGTTAATGCTGAATGAGAACAAAACAATCATAATCAACTATACAATTGAGCGATCACTTCCCAGTGAAGTTATAAGTAACTTTCAGATTACTCAGTCCGCCAAACTGCTGGGTACCTTTTTCGACTCAGAACTGTCTTTCTGCGATCACATAGATCACGTATGTAGGCAGCTTAATAAAGCATTTTATGCAGTACTACAATTGAAAAGCATTCTAGATCAAAAGGATCTATTGATTGTTTATTATAGTCTTGTCTATTCTCATATGTCATACAACATAATAGCGTGGGGAAGGAATAGAGTGAGTGAGAGAGAGTTTGTGACGAGTTGTCGACGAGTTTTTAAATGTAACAATATATTGACTTTCTGTTGTATATATGTATATAGATATATATATATATATATATATATATATATATATATATATATATATATATATATATATATATATATATATATATATATATATATATATATATATATATATATATATATATATATATTTAAATGTGTTACCTTTGTTAAAGCGAATCAGAATATTTTCACAACTCTAGGGATGTCTTTTAAGTTTTGCATATAGAAACACAGTAGGCCGCGCGGATCGAACGTCAGTACTGAATCTTAACCTCACTCTTAAGTAAACTTGAATTCAAAGTTCACTACAGTGAATTTTTAAGTGTCACCAAGTCATTAGAAAAATGGAACTCAACTGATAACATTTTCGCGCCATAATTTATTACAACTTCCAGAGACAATTATCGCAACAAGAATGCCTTGCTGAGTTACTGTCTGTTTTCGATAACGCAGCGCCACATCAGTCGACCATTTCCCGTTGGTTTGGAGAATTCAAATGTGGACGGGTGAGTCTTAGCGACGATTCCAAGGTGGGTGCACCAAAAACGT